AAAAGAAACAGAGGAAAAAGGTGAATAGAAATTATTATTGATTACTGTTTGACGCAGTAATAATGTCACTTAATGTGAAATTATCATTAATCATCAAATCTCACATGATATTTGAAGTTATAATTTCTTCATTGATAATAAAAACAAATTATTAAGTTTGTAAAGAAAAAATTAATAAAGAAACTTTTGGAATAAAAGAAAAAAAAATAACTACAAATATATATAAAGATTATACAAAATTCAGATATAAAATAATAAAATAAGAATATAAAATATTTATATAACTTATATTTTCAAAAGGAAATTAATAGAAATAATAAAGCAAAAAATGCAAATATATAAAAAAGAAGAAGAAAAAAAAATATTATATTAGCATAAAAATAAAAAAGAATGAAAAAATAATTATTAAAAATAAGAAAGAAAAAAATATTTTAAAATAAAAATAATAATATTATATTAATATATAATTAAAATATACGATAATCTTTAGAATAATAAAAAAAGATTAAGAATGATAACATTATATTAATATATAATAAAATAGATAATGATCTTTAGAATAATAAAGAAAAATCAAAAATAAATATATAAAATATTAAAATTAAAAGAAAAATAAGAAAGAAAATAGAAATTAGAATTGAAAAATGAATTAAAAACAAAAATTAATATAAAAATTAAAATTAATAATAAAAAAAAATATTAATAAAATCTAAAAATAAATATGATGTAAAAATAAAAAATAATAATAAAGCAATGAATAATATTAAAAAATATTAATAAAGGAATAAAATTAAGAATTATTAATAGAAAGAATAGAAATTAAAATTTATTAATAAAAAAATAAAATTAGAAATATTAAAAAAAAAATGAATAATCTACAAATTAATTAATATTAAATTAATATAAATATGAATAGTAATTTTTATTATATAAATAATATATCTATTTTATAATAAAAAAAAATGAAACTATATTAAAATAGTATATCATACTATTCAAAAAAAAAACATTGTATAATAAATAATATAATAAAATATATATGACAACTAAAAAATTACTAAAAATAAGTATATTACAAAATGCTTATTTTCAGAATAGTATAGTATTTGTTAATATGTTTTTATATATTACTAATAAATAATTATTTTTCATAAAATATAAATAATAAAAAAAGAAAATAATAATAATAAGAAAAAATAATAAGGATAATAATTAAAAAATAATTATAAAATAATTGAATAAAAGATTTAAAATTAAACTAAAAAAATATGATAAAAAGACAATATACTTAAAAGAAGAAAAAAAATTTAATAAAAATATAAAGAAGATAAATCTTCAGAATAATTTTAATAAATAAAGATAAATAATAAAAATAATAATAAGATGAAGAAAAATAATAAAATCAACAAAAAAGAATAATAAGAATATTATTAAATAGAATATAAATAGAAATAACTCAAAAATTAAAGAAAATGAAAAAACAAAAGAAAAATAAGAACAATAAAGAAGAATAATAAAAAAATAAAAAAATATTTAAAGATTAAAATTATCAAATCATAGAAAATAAATAACAAAAAAGATTGTATTCAGAAATATATGATAGAATAATAATAAAGAATTTTAAATAAAGAAAATAATAATATAAAGAAAAGTAAATTAATTAAAGATTTCTGAATAAATAAAAATTAATTTGTAAAATAAATTCTCTTAATGGTGAATGATAAAAATATATTAAGCAGATATAATTTCTATTAAAGCTATTAAACTTAAAAATATTATATATTTGTAAATTTGAATTTTGATGATTACAATATTAATAAACTAAAATATACCATAGATAATCATCTTAAATTTATATCACACAGAATAAAAATAATATAATACTTATTTATCTAATAAAAATAATTATTCAAAAATAATAAAAAAATAAACATTAATTTAGTTTTGACTAAAACTTTTATAAAAACCAATATTCTATTTGAAAAAATGAATAAATTAATTAAATTTTTAAAAAAAATAGAAGGTAAATTATATTTTTATAATATTATTTATTATTTTTTCTTTTAATATAGTTAATTTATAAAAGTTGTTGAAATAAAATCAATTAACTAAACATTATTTACCTTAAAATTTTTTAATTTAAAATTAGTATATTTTTATTACTATTAAAGAAAATATTAATATTGGTGAATGCAATATTATTGATATTTTATTTAGTTTTTAAGATCAAATAAATTAATAAAAACTGATTTTTTAGATAATATTAATTATATTACTATTTCCAGTTAATTATTTTTACAATAAATTTTATAACATTTCTTTTTAAATATTATTTTTTATATTAGTGATGATGTAATATATATGAAAAAAATTTATATAGAAATACTATTTTCTTTAATGTTACAACTTGAGCATAATTGTTATATAGCTCATATTCTTAATTTAATTAAAGATTACTGGATGATTATGATGAATGTAAAATTTAACAAGTGGGATTTAAATATTAACAATACAAAAAATGATGGTTATTATTTCTTTTTATAAATAAAACTCAAATATTTCTAAATTTAATATTATTAAATCTGAAGAAATTAATTTACGACTACCTTTTTATTTGTAAAAACTATTGAAACAACTGATTTAATTTTAATTTTTTAGTTAAAATCTAACTTTCCTTATTTTATTTAATTTTTTTTTAAAGAAAACACCTATAATGCTCCTTTAAAGAATTAGCGAAAATAATGATACAGTTTTAATAATTAAAATTCAGTCCAATTATTCGGGCAAAACTAGCTTAAGAAAATTTGAGTTTGGCCGCAAAATTGTTTAGAAGTTCTTAAGATGAAGCTAGATTAAGAATTCGTCAAAAGGTTTAACCGAATCTTTAATTCATTAGCCAAAATGAATGTGTAATAAAAAACGAGTATGTACATAAAAATATAAATAGATAGTTTACAATTTCAGATGCACAATATATAGATTATTTATTGGATAATTAACCTTTAATACTGAGGTTTTCATTATTACACATTATTACACGAAATCGTTCTAAATATTTAATATAATTCTTGTGATAACGCCATAAAGCTAATGATAATTCGAAATCCTAATAAAATAGGAATTTTTTTTTTGTTGGGTACTAATAAAATAACAAATCCTCTTAACTACAATTCTTTCATCATCATTTTCTGCAATTGATTTTCCAATTGGATGAAAAGATGATGAACCTGGTTAAACGAATCAATACGATCTTCAGCTCGAGACTTTTCCCTGATTAAATAATCTTGAGCGGCAAAGATTTGCTGGCGAATATTTTCTATATAAAAAGTGAAATCATTATAAGAGGTGGAAGGAACAGTTGTCAATGATGCCGCATGATTATCATAGTTGGAAACAGCCGATTGAGAAATATCTGCTGGTAAAATATCAAACACGCTTTCTTGAATAGGTGGATATGAATTATTTGTAGGAGAAGTGGTTCCTGATCTACGATCATCGTCTTCGGAGCTAATATTGTGTTGTGGCGATACTGAGAGGGATATTTCTCTTGGATTCGGATCTGCTACCTTATTGGTTTCCAAAGAAGTTTTAGCAAGAACCACCGCTTGCGATGAAGTAGATCGAGTTAGTTCACCTGAAGCTTTTGGTAATAAGATATTGGCCGGAGGCTTATTTGAAGAAGCTGCTACTGCAGCTGGTCGTAAAGATTTCTTTTGAAAGGAAAACGAACTAGTTTCTTCATGAATTGCAAAACTAGTGGAAGTAGTTGAAAGAGATTCCTCCTCTTCTTCTTCCTCCTCTTCTTTTATACATGGTAAAATAGGTAAACGTTTTGAAGAGACAAAACCTTCCTTCAGATCAAGATATCTTTCAATCGCATCATATAAATCAACATTTTGATGATGAGCGACAAGGGCATAAAATTTGGATTTACAAGAATAGATAGATTTTGGATAAAGGAGAATTTGTCTACATTCTTTACTAAATTCTCTCCAGAATAATTTTCTGTTATTACTCAATAATTCGTAATTGTCACAAACATAATTAACAAGTTCAATTTCATCTTCAATATCCCATAAAGGTTTAATAATAATACGTCGCGATTGTTGTGCCGGCTGATGTTGTTGATCAACAGATGCAGGAGTTGTTGATGTTAATGATGATGGTGTAGGAGGTGCAACCGAAGGTTCTTCAACGATAATATCAACTTCTTCACGAAGATTGTTAATTGTAGTTGTGTCAGTAACGACAGATGAACTCGTTTGAGGATCATTATTTTCAGAAGTTTGTTGTGAATTTCTATTTCTATCATTAATAGGACTTTTTCCACGTCCGCAGAATTGCGGAAAGCAACCTCTTTCTCCACGAAGAACCATATCTGAATCTTTTGGAATATAAAAGAAAATCTTGGTAGTTTTTATTTGTTTTGAGAAAAACGAGTAACTGGAAGCTAAGGTCGACAATGAATAGTATTTAAGACAAAATAAACTCTATACTTATAAATAATACTATATGATGATGAATATGATGTCACAGTCGACATAAGCAAAGTTTGACATCAATCGGAGCTTAATAACAATCAATCTACAATAAGAAAAGTATTCCAACGACCACATGAACAATTTAAAACTTTTTTATCTCTTAAATCAGTCGAATCTATTGGAACGAATTTATAATTATCATTCAGTTTATCAGCGCCTAGACCCAGCTGTCCATACTTTCCTATAGAAATATATTAGATTTACACCTGAACCAAAAAAATAAAAAATTTAATATCTGATTATTTATATAGGTCACATACCCCATCCACAACTCCATAATCTAAAATCATCTATTTCGAATTAAAACGAATACATGTAAGTCATTTATATCATAATTTACATAATATATTTATTTTTAATACCATTCCTTCGCCTTTACGTTACCAGTAATAACAACAGTATGTGCGCTGCCACAAGCCACTTTCAATACATTCAATTCCTCGTTATCCTCTCCAAAGAACTCAACCAGCGAAGGTTCAGCACAATTCACTGTTGAACTCTCTTCAAAGAAAATTCCCAACCTCCCAAAGTGATTCCATCCAAAAGTGTATAAATCATCCGAATCTTCGTAATTGTATAAAAGTTGAAAGTTTCACAGAAGAAAAAAAGTTAAAAGCAAATAATTCTATAGATATACTACGTACCAGTAATTACAGCTGAGTGCCATCCTCCACAAGAAATTTTTTTCACTCGCAATCCCTGAAAAAATTCAATTACCATGGGTTTTTCTAATGAATCTGTTAATTCTCCATGTCCAAGCTGTCCAAATCTTCCAGATCCCCAGCTATACACTTCTCCATCTTTAGTTAACGCCAAACAATGGTTCTCTCCACAAACAACATTTACGAAAAATGTATTTAAATTATCGCTTTCATCAGAAAGTCTTATTTCATTTGGTTCTTCATTATTTTTTAAATTTAATTTCCATAACTTTCCATCCTCTTGATTGAAATAGTATTTTTTTTTTTGATTTTTTTTTAGTAAAAAGGTAACTTCCTAATATCATATTATGTACCTGTTACGACAATTACATTATTCCCGGTCCACATTTGATCAACGTCAACACACTTTGCAGAAAATTTAAAA